ACTCACTATCTCAGTGGCAGGTCCACGGAGTTAAGTAGTGAATTCTCTATGGACACCAGTAAATGTGAAAATGCCAATTGAGAAGTGAGCAACAAGAAGTTGCTCATCCACCAGGGGCAAATCCTTCAGGCATCTGTGCTACCGGCTCCCCCAAACGTCAGCCTGAAGGGATGAGTGGAGGGATCAGGTGTAGGATAAAAAGCAAGGCATGGCGTTTATTAAGCACCTGCTGCATGTCAGGCCCAGCATGCATCTTTCTGATGAGGACATCGGCCCAGAAAAGGTAAGTGGAAGCCCTGGGTTGAACAGCATGGCAGAAGAGAAGGCAGGATTTGAACCAAGCCTCCTGATTCTCTGAAGCTGGGCTTGGAACCTCTACATTCCATGTCCATGGGCTACACCAAGATGCCTCCTGAGTCAGGTGGTTGGGCTCCGGCTCCAACTCCCACTTGGGCTCTGCCTCCAATTCACTAAGATTGAGCAGCCACTTCCCCGATTGCGTCTGGATTCCCCTCCCTATTAAGTAAGCTGTTGATGTGGTTGCTCCCTCTGCCGTCTGCCTTCAGGGAAGCTGTTTTTACTGTAGTCACCAGAGGGCGCTGTGGCTCCAGCCTTTGCAGCCTTAAGTCAAGTGGAAAAAGGCTTAGGGAACTCCTCAATCACCTCGTTCCCTCTTATTTTGCAGATAAGAGAACTGCAGCCAGAAGAAGGACCATGGCTTTGGAAGGTGGAGCTCAGGCCAAGGAGGTAGATGCTGTCCTTGGTCGGCTCACCGTGCGTGAATATTTTGTTCATGTTGATTCATTAAGAGTTACCACGGCCCTCTGTGCCTTGGGCCCGGGGCTGGACTCAGACAGAGAGGCACCAGACCTGGCACTTCTCAGGAGATTCCCAACCTGTGAAGGAGAGTCAAACAGGCAGGCCCACCAGGACCACCATCTCCGAACTCCAGGTGCCCGGGGAAGCCCTGGAGAGCATGATTTAGTGCCTCTAACCTCATAACATCCGGAGAAGTCGGTGCACCATTCCCCCATTTTTCAGATAGGAAAGCTGGCACTCAGAGGTGGTCTATCAATAGCTCAAGGTCACATAGCCAGTAAGTAAGTTGGTATTCAAATCGAAGTCCATCCATCTCCACTTATAGAAGAGAGACATTTGACTCAGATTTGGAAGGATGACAGGAAGTTCAGCCCTAGCTGGTTTGGCTTAGTGGATAGAGTGTCAGCCTTTGGACTGAAGGGTCCCGGGTTCAATTCCGGTCAAGGGCACATGCCTGGGTTGTGGGCACATCCCCAGTAGGGGGCCTGCAGGAGGCAGCCAATCAGTGATTCTCTCTCATCATTGATGTTTCTCTCTCTCTCTCTCTCCCCCTCACTCCCTCCCTCCCTCTCCCTTCCTCTCTGAAATCAATAAAAAAATACATATTTAATAAAAATAAAAGTTCACCAGAAAGTCTGGTGAGAAATGGATATTATAAATAGAAATTACTCCTGGCGGGGTAGCTCAGTTGGTTAGAGTGTCATCCTGATACACCAAGGTTGTGGGTTCAATCCCTGGTCAGGGCACATATAAGAATCAATCAATGAATGCATAAATAAGTGAACAACAAATCTATGTTTCTCTCTTGCATTCCAGGTTTTGTGAGGGCTGTGTGGGGTCTCTGTGGGGTGGTATCAGAGATGGTTCGGGTGGGGAGAGGGACAAGGACCTACTGGGTGGTCAGTGAAGGTGGTCACTGACAGATTGTGTGTTGCTTCCCTAGCCTCTCCAGATGTAGGAAGCCCGGTCAGGCAGCCATGGAGTGGCACAATGACACAAGCCAGGCTCTGGGCTCACCGCCGACCACCTGTGTCTACCGAGAGAACTTTAAGCGACTACTGCTGCCACCTGTGTACTCCGTGGTGCTGGCGGCTGGCCTGCCGCTGAATATCTGTGTCATTGTCCAGATCTGCTCGTCCCGCCGGGCCTTGACGCGCTCGGCCGTGTACACCCTGAACCTGGCCCTGGCTGACCTGCTGTACGCCTGCTCCCTGCCCCTGCTCATCTACAACTATGCCCGAGGTGACCACTGGCCCTTCGGCGACCTCACCTGCCGCCTGGTGCGCTTCCTCTTCTATGCCAACCTCCACGGCAGCATCCTCTTCCTCACCTGCATCAGCTTCCAGCGCTTCCTGGGCATCTGCTACCCTCTGGCCCCCTGGCACAAGCGTGGGGGCCGCCGGGCTGCCTGGATAGTGTGTGGAGCCGTGTGGCTGGCTGTGACAACCCAGTGCCTGCCCACAGCCTTCTTTGCCGCCACAGGCATCCAGCGTAACCGCACTGTCTGTTACGATCTGAGCTCGCCTGCCCTGGCCACCCGGTACTTGCCCTATGGCATGGCGCTCACAGTCATCGGCTTCCTGCTGCCCTTCGCTGCCCTGCTGGCCTGCTACTACCGTCTGGCCCGCCGTCTGTGCCGCCGGGACGGCCCCACAGGGCCTGTGGCCCAGGAGCGGCGTGGCAAGGCAGCCCGCATGGCTGTGGTGGTGGCAGCCGTCTTCGCCATCAGCTTCCTGCCTTTCCACATCACCAAGACAGCCTACCTGGCGGTGCGCTCGACGCCGGGTGTCTCCTGCCCCGTGCTGGAGGCCTTTGCAGCCGCCTACAAAGGCACGCGGCCCTTCGCCAGCGCCAACAGTGTGCTGGATCCCATCCTCTTCTACTTCACCCAAAAGAAGTTCCGCCAGCGGCCACACGAACTGTTCCAGAAACTCACAGCCAAGTGGCAGCGGCAGGGGCGCTGAGCCCCTGGGGCAGGACAGACCCCAATATCTCAGCCACAGCTATTTATTGAGCCCTTGTTTGGACCAGGCCTTGTGGGCACAGACACAGGGCAGCCTGAGCCTGGCCCTGCAGAAGGTCCCGTGAGCCATGGAGAGGCGGAGAAGCCATGTTAAGCTGCTCACACAAATATATGTGACATGTACCGTGATTGAGGAGTATGCTGCATGCTTTGGAGTCACTTATAAGGGAGTGAAGGAAGATGGGGGTGGGGAGGAGTGAGAGCTTCTGGGAAGAGGCATTTGAGCTGGGTTTTGAGGGATGACTATGAGTGGGGTATGATGTTCCATTCATTCAGCAAACCTTTACTGACGGCGTGTTCAGGCCTGGGTTGGTTGTGGGCCCCAAAAGAACCAGACCCATACAGGCTCCCAACTGCTGGAAGGATTGACGCAGTGATGTGAAGGCTGTGACTGAGGGAAGCGTGGCTGTAGGGACGGAGTGCTCGGAGGATGCCCATGACCCAGATCAAGAAGTCAGGAGAGAGCTTTTTGGGGGGAGAGGGGAGGAAGGGGAGCATCTGAACCAGATGTTAAAGGCTGTTGGGAGCTTTGCCAGCGGAAGCGGGGAGCATGTTAGTACAGCCTGGGCCAGCCCTATGCTAGGCGCTGCCCTGGGGCAGTCAGGCAGGGAGCTGGGATGGGCGGCATGTGGCCTCCTGTGTGTGAAAGCGGAAAACCTAAGAGCTGTCTTATGGCCACTCTCCAGACAACCAATGGCAGGAGGGGGGCTCAGCAGAAGGAGAAATCAGGGAGTGCTTCTTAGAAGAGGGGGAGCCTGAGGTGGGGAGGAGGCTCCTGGTGAAGGCACTGTGCATGCAAAACCCAGAGGCAGAGATGCGCTGCGCTTGGAGGTAAAGCAAGTGAGTTTCAACTCAGCCCAGGGGTTGGGTGTGTGCGGAGTGGGGCGTTAAGAAAAGAAGCTGGGTGAGACCAGAGCATTAAATGCCAGGAAGAGCCCCAGACCCCACTTACCCTCCGCCCACCTCTTCCAGACTCAGGGTATCCACCAGGCCCCTCCAAGGAGGGGAAGTGGCCCTTCGACATTGCTTCATTCTAAAAGGAGAGTCAACAGCTCAGGAGAAAGAGCCACCAGGGCCATCAGGAGGCTGCTACATGGAGATCCCGTGTCAGGGGCCTGCTGACCAGTCTCAAGACAGACTGCCCTGCCGGCTTCCTCTGTTCTGCCCTCTCAGCTCCATCATTCTGGCCTGCGGGTGCCTGGAAGGCTGCCCGGAGGCCATCTCATATGGACGCATCTCAAACACAGACCTGAGCCTTAAAAAGGCTTGTAAAGGCATCTTCACTGAAGGTCCAAGGAGGCAGCAAAGGGAAATACCAGGCAAGGCCCTTCCAGGTCCTCACCTGTTCTCCCCCTGCGCGCCTCTCCCCTCAGCCACACCTCTGCAGAGCCCCATCCTCTCTGCTCTTTTTCTCTCCTCCCCCACCCCACCCCTCAGACCCCTCTCCTCCTCTAGGCCTTATTCCCTCCTGTGGAACAGTCTGGCCTGCCCTTGGCTGCTGGTATACCACACAGACCCGGCATGGCGAAGTCTTCCTTTTCAGAAAGTAGAGGGAGGAGAGGGATGGGCAGAGCGATAGGGCAAGGACGGACTATATAACTGATTCAATATCTTCCTTTTAGCCCCACCTTATCGCCAAGGCTGTTGGGCAATGGGCACTCAGAGAAGAGCCCTGCAGAGTTAAACTCCATAGAGGTGTCTTGCAGCTGGCGGAGGAAGTGGGAGAACCAGGCCCGGCCCACCTTGGGATCCACTACAAGTGCTGTGGCTGGAGAGGCTTACAATTTGGACAAAAGGAACTTTGATTTTTTTGGGCTACAGTGAGATAGACACATGGTGATGTCAGAAGAAAAAGGCTAGTTCTTTTTTTAAAAAAAAATATTTTTATTGACTTCAGAGAGGAAGGGAGGAGAGACAGAAACATTGATGATGAGAGAGAATCATTGATCGGTTGCCTCCTGCATGCCCCACACTGGGGATCGAGCCTGCAACCCGGGCATGTGCCCTGACCGGGAATTGAACCGTGACCTGGTTCACAGGTCGACGCTCAACCACTGAGCCATGCCAGCAGCTTGGGTCTTTGACCATTCCAGTTTGGGGCCACTAAGTGCAGATTTTTGCCTGAGAGATAAGTATCTACTTTTTTAAAGCCCTAATGTTTTAATCTTTGTTACCCACAGCCCAAACAAACCCCTTTACTCAGATTCCATCCTGGTAGTAGACCTGGGTGGAGGCAGGCGGAGTCCTGACCTGGGGTGGAGCCCTCCACCCGGTGGTAGCGAGGAGTCCACAGGGTCTGGAGACGTCCAGGAAGGGTTTTTGGAAAAGGTGCAAAGCCTGGGGCGGGGTTACCTCACCTTTGGCTGGAATCTGAGGGGGTGGATGGGCTTCTTGAAGAAGAAAATAAGAAGGGGGCTGAATAGAGTCCTAGAACACCAACATTAGGGGACTGGGGAGGAGGAGGAGCCAGAGAAGTGGAGGTAGAAGCCTGAGGGAGGGGGGGGAAGGGTGTGGCATGTGTGATATGATGAGGCAGTGGAGTTGGGTGAGGGAGGGAGGGGCTGGAGGAAAGGAAGTTTTAAGTGATGGGTGGAGAAGTAAAGAAAGGATGGTTCTGAGGGAGACCAGGCTCATGTCAGCAATTAAGGACAGGGAAGGGGGGCGGGGAACATGGGGGACCCAGAGAGTCAGGAACCAGGGCCTGATTTGGGGAGATTTCCATTCAAAGTAGGAAAAGCCTGGGGGCACTAGATCTGTCCTAGCAATGGATGCAGCTGCCTCCTCCCTCCCTCATTCATTTAACAAACATTCTCTGTGCTCCTTGGAGATGGTGCTGGGAACCCTGAGGCAGCTCAGACCCAGACCCAACCCTCAGAAAGAATCCAGGGGGCTGGGGATGCAGACAAGGAGACAGACAGTTCATCCAGTAAACACTGATTGAGCACCTACTGTATTCCAGGCAGCATGCTGGCAGTGGGTCCCTGCCCTCGGGGAGTTCCTAGTCTGATGGAGAACGACAATAATGAAATAACCACAAACACATCTGAATCATTACAATTGAAGAGAAGGGTTCAGAAACACATACAGAGGGCTAGGGGCACAGAAGGTCTCCCTAGACCAGTGGTTGGCAAACCGTGGCTTGCGAGCCACATGCGGCTCTTTGGCCCCTTGAGTGTGGCTCTTCCACAAAATACCATGTGCGGGCGCGCACGTACAGTGCGATTGAAACTTTGTGGCCCATGCCCAGAAGTCGGTTTTCGGCCTGGGCGAGTCTATTTTTAAGAAGTGGCGTTAGAAGAAGTGGGGGGTGTCGGTCGGTCGGGTACCTCAATCAGATTGAGGACGTTTTTAGCAAAGGCCAGTTTAGGAGTACCCTAATTAAGTTAATAACAATGTACCTACCTATATAGTTTAAGTTTAAAAAATCTGGCTCTCAAAAGAAATTTCAATCGTTGTACTGTTGATATTTGGCTCTGTTGACTAATGAGTTTGTCAACAGTACAACGATTGAAATTTCTTTTGAGAGCCAAATTTTTTAAACTTAAACTATATAGGTAGGTACATTGTTATTAACTTAATTAGGGTACTCCTGAGGCTTAGGAAGAGCCACACTCAAGGGGCCAAAGAGCCGCGTGTGGCTCGCGAGCCGCAGTTTGCCGACCACGGGCCTAGACAATAAGCTCTTGGAATGGTCAGCAGATGCTGGGGACCACACGGGCCCTGACCCAGCGTGAAGGGCAGAGAAGGTTTCTTAGCTGAAGCCCAATGGCCTCAGAAGGCAGTAGCTCAGTAAAGAAGGGCTGTCACTAGACCTGTGACTTTGAACAGACCCCTCACTTCTCTGAGCCTCTGTTTCCTGACCGGTAAAGTGGATACTGCTATCAGCTCTCCCTAGGCCACCGGGGGTGTTGAGCATGGAAAGGTTAGAGCAGAATTCTCATGAAGTACAACAAAGTATTATAACCCAACAGAAGAATGGATAAAAGGCGCAAAGAGGCACTCCATAGAAAAGGAAATGCAGATAATCAAAAAACCAGAAAAGCCCTAGCCGGTTTGGCTCAGTGGATAGAGTGTTGGCCTGAGGACCGAAGGGTCCTGGGTTGTTTCCAGACAAGGGCACGTACCTTGGTTGCAGGCTTCTCCCCAGCCTGGGCCCTGTTCAGGGCACATGCAGGAGGCAACCAATCAATGTGTTTCTCTCACATCAATATTTCAAAATATTGCACAAAAACGTGCCATGTCTAAAAATCAATGGAAAAATATACTCGGGTGAGGATTAAAAGAAAAACAAAAACAAACAAACAAAAAAAACCCAGGAAAGATATTCGGTTCTAGCTTGACAATGCCTCCTCATGTGGAGTAGCCACATGGCCCACTGCCCTGAGCTCTTCTGCAAATGTGCCCTGGAGTGTGCAAAACACTCAGAGCAGCACTGTTCACAAGTGCAGACACCTGGAAACATTCAAATGCCCACCCGCTGGAGAGAGGATGAATGCCATATTCACACATTGGAATACTGCACGCAGCCAGAATGCACTACACTAGCATACAACGATATGGACAAATATTAGCAGCATGTTAAGTAAAAAGAAGTTCCCCAAATTACATACAGCAAGATGCCCTTTTTGTAAATTTAAAAACAACTAAGATTAAAATGTACACTTTAAGGAAATCCACAGATGCAAAAAAAAAAAAACTATATAAAAAGGGAATGATGGGCACAGGAGGGGATGGTTATCTTGGTGGTGGAGCAGTAGGAGAATGGGTGGGGGAACTATATAATGAGATGTAGGACATTGTAAAGGTCCTAGTTGTTTTGGTTTTTCGTGGGAGTCAAACAACTGGTGAGAATGTGTCATGCACAAAAGGTTATGAATCATCCAATTCTGTGCCTTGAGGTCTAATTATAAAGAAAAGAAACAGGACAATCTCAGGACATTCCTATTTGATTTTGGAATGGAATGGTCAGGAGATGCTGGGGATTACAGGGGCACTGACACAATATGAGGGCAGAGAAGGTTTCTTAGGAGTCAGGAGCCAGAGTTCTTTCCTGGAACTCATTGCTGCTGCTGCTTATTATTATTACTATTATTTTTTTTTAATTTAAAGTATTACATATGTCTCCTTTCGGAACTCATTGCTTCTTACTCCTCATCTTTCTCCCCGTTAACGACCTGAGGCCCAACATTATCCGTGACTTTGACCATCATAACCTTTCCACCTTGATTTCTCCAATGGGTTCTATAGCTGTGATCTTGCTGAGTAGACTCACGGAGCAGATGGATGATTGTTTTCATTCCCCTTTCACAGGCAGGAGCCTGAGCTCCGGAGGAAGAGTGACCTGCTAGATTCACGGGGCACATCTGTAAGGGTGACTGCATTGGGCCCGGCTCTGGACTCCCAGCACAGTGTTCCTCTCGCCACCCTGATGCCCAGTGCTCCCAGGCCCCTCCTAGATGAGTCTTTTGAGGACTGAAAACACCCAGGTCCCTCTGAGCCAGGAAGATAACTGTGTCTCACCCTGAATCAGAAGGGGCTGGAGGTTGGAGGACCCATGAGGAGCTGTAAGCGGCCAAGCCACTCTCTGATTGGGTGAGCTCCCCATTGTTGGAGGCCCAGCCTGGATCCTTAAACAGGGGACTCCTGACCCAAAGCCCCAAGCCAGTTCATCTCACAGCCACGCTGCAGGGGGCTGGGATCCTGCGACCCGGGTCTCCACTCTGCATCAGTGTGCCCATCTGTGAAATGGATATAAGAACCTCTACCCCAGAAGTGACGTGAAAACAGAAGATGACAGGGTGTGAGTTTGGAAAAGTATACATTTCAGGTGGTAGGGGACATCATTATTGGAAGAGAGCAGTGACTCCTGGGATGAAGGTGCCCCTGCCATACTACAACTGCCTCAAAAGAGGAGAAAGAAAACTCTAGAAGAGACAAGAGTCTGACTTCAAATAGAGGCAGAGAGAGGCCAGACCCACTCCCTACTTGTCAGATGTGGCAACTGAGGCCAGGGATTTACCCAAGGTCACACAGCAAGGCAAGGGCCGAGCGGCACTGGGCCAGGCAGGGCTGGCTTCCTCGTCATCCATTTCCCAGTAAAGAGAGAAAAACGTGCTTGCCCCCCCTCAAGGCAGAAATGAGACACAGCTGCAGTGAGGGACTCACAGCGAAGAGGCTGGTCGCAGGTCACAGAGAAAGAGCTTTCTTCTCCCTGCAGAGACTTTCCACAACCCCAGGGAAGCAGCAAGCAGGGCCCGGGGGCCTGGGCGAGTCCTACTTCTCTCCTGCGGTCGTCAGGCAATCCCTCCAGCGTCTACCATCCTGCCCTTTGCCCATCCCTGCCCCTCTCATCTGGACCAGGGCCCCCTGCTCCCAGGTCCTCCCATCTTAGTCAGGCCCAGCCTCAGTCCTCTTGGGCTGAGGGGACCAGAAGGATCCTCTGCTCCTGGGGAGGGTGAACCCAGAACCCAGGAGGAGGAGGCTGCTGGGGCCAGGAAAGGCTGTCTGGAGGAACATGGTGTTTGAAGCTCCTGAAATCTGAATTTGAGTCATCGCAGTCGCTGCCATTTCCTGACTGTAACACCGGTGGTCAAAGTTACTTCTCCTTCATGACCCATAGAAGGGGTAATAATATCTACCTCCAAGGGTGGTTCAAGGACTAAATAAATGAAATAATATTACCAATACATCCAAGACGCTGCACAAATCCCCATTCGTCCACTCGGATGCAGCGCTGTCATGCATTTAAACTGGGCCAGGGAAAATGAATGGGACCTGGTAGAGGCCGGCGGGGAAGGGAAAGCCCCAGTTTTCCCTAGGACGCGAGACTTGCCAAACCAGACTGGGAGCAGAGGCCTGGGGGAGAGGTAGGAGGGAGAAGCGATCCACACCTTTCCTGTCAAGGAGGGTGGAGCAGCTGTAGGTTTGGCTGTGGCGAGTCAAGGGCGGTCCTATCGAAGCTCCTTCGGTACGTGAGGATGGAGGAGGGAGTGCACTTTGTGAAGGGATTAATTTTTAAAAGGCTCCAGGCCCTGGCTGGTTTGGCTCAGTGGATAGAGCGTCGGACTGCGGACTGAAGGGTCCCAGGTTCGATTCCAGTCAAGGGCACATTCCGGGGTTGCGGGCTCGATCCCCAGTGTGGGGCCTGCAGGAGGCAGCCGATCCATGATTCTCTCTCATCATTGATGTTTCTATCTCTCTCTTCTTCTCTGAAATCAATAAAAATATATTTTAAATAAATAAATAAATAAAAATTAAAAGGCTCCTGAAGGAACTAGGAAGCAACTGAAAGGAAGTAAAGGAAGCGGTCTTTCCTACCCTCGGAGGGGTTCTGGATGGTGGGTGCTGATTTACCTGCCCAGGATTTCCAGGGGGGGGTGGGCAAACCCGGCCGGTAGAGGGCGCAAGAGCCACGTGCCCTGGAGCTCAAGGGAAGGAGGAGGAGGCCCGGCGCCGGGCGGGCAGCTGGAAACCTGAGAGCGGGCGGGGGCGTGGTCACAGGCGTGGGACTGGTTGGGGGAACCTCGGAGCTGGACGGACCGCAGAGGTGGGAGGGGCGGGGCGTCTGGGGGCCCGAGGGGCTGGACGGGGTCGCAGTCGCAGCGCGATTCTCCTCCGACGGCCCAAGAAAGGGCGTGGCGAAAGGGCGGGGCGGGGAGCGGCCGAAGCCCGAGTCCGCCCGCGGCGCCCACGACTCCCCCTGGCGGCGAGCCCGGCCCCTTCCCCGCCTGGGAGAGCCGTGTACCTGAGTATCGGTGTGCACGGGTGTGTGGGTCCGAGGTTGCCATGTTGGTCCCTGGGCAGGAGCTGTTGGACCGCAGGGGGTGCAGCGTCCCGGCTCTACGTCCGCGGAGCTGAGCGCACTCAGAGCCGGCGGAGTCGGAGTGAGTCCTTCGGGGGCAGCTCGGGCCGCGAGGGTCGCTGCCGCGGTCTCATCCTCCCCTCTGGCTCCTCCCCGCTTCCCTCCCCACCCCCTACTCCCGATTCCCAGCCTTTGGCGCGCGGGGAGCCCACCACCTCTTTGGGGTGGGAGGCTCCGCCCCCCGCCCCCTTTCCTC